TCGTGGTGATGCACAAATTAATGGAGATGGGTTAAATTAATATGTAAGAGATTAACCAATAAGAAGCTAGAGCTAATGGGCCAAGCCGCTATTTAATTAATACAGTTTCTGTGTGGTTATTTCAGGTTTAAGCTAGCTGGGCAGCTGGGATAATAATTTAAGTAACCAAACATTTTGGTAAAATATATGTATTTTTTTTTTTTTGTTTCCAAGCTTTTGGAGCCTGTCCTGGAACTAGCTCTTGTAGACCAGGCTGGCCTCGAACTCACAGAGATCCGCCTGCCTCTGTCTCCCGAATGCTGGGATTAAAGGCATGCGCACCACTGCCCGGTTTGTGATTATTTTTTTGAAGATTTATTTTCACCAGGTGATGGTGGCTCATGCCTTTGATCTCAGCACTCGGGAGGCAGAGTCAGGTGGATCTCTGTGAGTTCAAGGCCATCCAGGGCTACATAGAAAAAAATATAAAAGTAAAGTAACAGATACATGTCCCTGAGAATGGGTTGAATGTGTCCCCTGAAGAATGTGATGTTATCTGGCAATAGAGTCTTGACAGACATGGTTAAGTGTTGTGGAATAATCTTTTTGTACACTGTGAAGATGTGTTTCTGCCAGGGCATCTTCTGATTGGTTTACTAAAGAGCAGGGGAATCAGGTGTCCAAGGTCTTCCTCAGCTATAACAAGTTCCAGACCAGTCTGGTATACATGACACCTTATCTCAAAAATGAGGGGGTGCGGGGAGCTCTTTGGAAGTTACTGGAATTCATAGTTTTGTAAATAGGGACCGTCTCTAAATTGCTCCTCCCCCGTAATCCCTGTATGTCCTCTGCTTGTACATGTATTACTTATGTTTTCAGGTTTTTAAAGGTGCCATACAATATTAACCCATATAGAGAGAAAAATGAATAATACAATAACTATTCATCTGCCTAATGTGTACCTTAAACTGAAGCACAGGTGACTCTTAACTTCCCTGGAGATCTCCCACTCTTGTCTTTCTCGTCCTCCTCTTAGAGCGAAGGGAGCAGGCAAAAGCACCTTGTCCTAAGCGCTGCCATTTTAACTTCAGACTCCATTTTAACAGTAGGGCAAAACAAAAGTTCAGGTTCTCAAGCCTTAGGGGAACTGGGAACCTTCCAATGGCTGACTAACCTCCTCCTTCGACAACAGAAATGATCTGTTATTGCCCCTTAGTTCTCTAGAACGTTATGGCTGTTTCTAACAACAGAAAGAACAAATGAATCTGATTGGCTGGCTGAAAGGCTTCCATTCTATGCTGGTTGACAATGAGGGAACACTTAAGGAAAGCCTCTACTCCCTAGATCCTGCTGGGGGGAAAATGTAACTGTAACCTGACAGCTGTGTTTATGGTTTTGCGCTTATAAAACCCCCGCGTCTGTCCCTGCTCTGGGCTGCCAGGAAAAGCAAGGCTCCTGAGCCCTTGTCGTGCAGCCCTGATTGATTGTAACCCTGCTTATGTGGTGATTTAATAAAGACTTTGAACCCATAGTGTCGTCTCTCTCCTTCCTCGTGGTGCACAACGGACACGGGTATAACATCTTAACTCTCTTTGTAGACCAGGCTGGCCTCAAACTCACAGAGATCCTCCTGCTTCTGCCTCCCGAATGCTGGCATTAAAGGTGTGTGCCACCACCACTCTTCAAGATCCTGTCCTTGATTTGAACTTGCTTATTCCCAGGAACTTCCAGAATCCATAACTAGATTGTGTTTGACTATAAATAATACAGTCTTGTTTTGCATATTTTAAACCTTTTAAAAATCATATTGTATTATATGTGTTTTTCTATCAATTACACTAATGTTGTAGACTATTATTTTAAGGTATGCTATATTTGTTTATGCAGTGGAACATTAGTTTTAATGATGCAAAAATGTGTTGCATTCTTTTCTGTTACTTTTGTTAACTCTGTGAAGCTGTCTTACCTTGCCTGTCTAAAATACCTGATTGGTCTAATAAAAAGCTGAATGACCAGTAGCTAGGCAGGAGAAAGGATAGGTGGGACTATCTATCATAGTCATAGAGGCAGAGATAATAAAAAGGAGGAGAAATCTGGGAAGACAGACAGAGGAGCAAGAAAAGAAGGGTCTCACACACAGATACGAAATAAGAAGGAAAGAAAAGATATACAGAAATAGAGAAAGGTAAAAGCCCAGAGGCAAAAGGTATATGGGATAATTTTAAGTTAAAGAAAGCTAGCTAGAAATAAGCCAAGCTAAGGCTGGACATTTATAAGTAATAATAAACCTCTGTGTGATTTATTTGGGAACTGGGTGGCAAGTCCCCCAAAGTGAAAAGACCCAAAAGAGTAAAACAATCAACAACACACTAATATTACTTCGTGTGTGTGTGTGTGTGTGCGTGTGTGTGTGTGTGTGTGTGGTGTTTCGTATGTGTGTGGTATGTTTGTGTGTTTCATATGTTTGTTAGTGTGGGTGTCAGCACATTTGCCTGCAGATGGAAAGGCAGCGATGGATGTCCGGTGTCTCTCCTCGGTCCTCTCCACCTTTTATGTTTTTTTGAAAAGGTGTATCTCACTAAACCTGAAACTCATAGATTTGCCTAGGCTGGCCAACCAACAAGCTCAGGAATCTGCCTGTCTCTCTAAGGGGATAAGCACATGTCACGGAACCCAGCTTTTTTACATAGATTCTGGGGATCCAAATGCAGGTCCTCAGGCCAACTGAGACTGCCTCGGCTCATTTATTACATTTGTGAGGTTTATCCACTTTGGAATATGTCTTTCTGGGTAATTTTGTTTCACCTATATATCATATTCCAGTCTATGAAAATGATAACCTGGGCTGGAGAGATGGCTCAGGGGTTAAGAGCATTGCCTGCTCTTTTAAAGGACCTGAGTTAGCCAGGCGGTGGTGGCACACGCCTTTAATCCCAGCACTCGGGAGGCAGAGGCAGGTGGATCTCTGTGAGTCTGAGACCAGCCTGGTCTACAGAGCTAGTTCCAGGACAGGCTCCAAAGCCACAGAGAAACCCTGTCTCGAAAAACCAAAAAAAAAAAAGGTCCTGAGTTCAAGTCCCAGCAACCACATGGTGGCTCACAACCATCCATAATGAGGTCTGGTGCCCTGTTCTGGCCTTCAGGCATACACACAGACAGAATATTGTATACATAATAAATAAATATTTTAAAAAAGAAAAGAAAATGATAACCTATCTAGTTTCTGTTGTTGAAGAAGTAATTCTTGTCATTTTCCCTCATCCCAACCATGTTTCATCTTCTTGTCACATAGAGTATGATAATCTTTGTCTAGGATCAATATTTACTAGCGCATCCTGGGGTGTGCTACCTTCAACTTCACTAAATGCTGACGTATAGTCTTCCCACAGGTTTCTAGCAATTTAGGTTTCTACCAGCCAATGCCTGTTAACTCCAGTGTTCCACCTTCCACAGTCGACCAGCACTGACGGCCTTTTAACTTTAAAAAGTTAGCCTGAGGGTATGGAAAGGGACGGAGGCAATTTCCACACACTGTGTTCCCTATTTCTTTGTGCTACTTTTTATCATTTTGTATTTTCTCACTGGTTTGTAAGAATTTCGACATATTCTGCATACAGGACCTATGCTGGCCTTAGGTGTGTATGGCCCATACCTTCTTCACCAAACATCAGGTTGTCTTCGTCCCTTTCCAAGTGTTTCTTTCTTTACATTTTGTAAGATTAGAGATATCAGTTCCTGTCAGTGTTTCTCTCCATAGTATTGTTCATGTGGCAGAAAGAGAGAGAGAGAGAGAGAGAGAGAGAGAGAAAGGCTAAGACAAGACTCACCAAGAATTAAAGTTGCCTTTAAAAAAAAAAAAACTTTTCTCTTTTTTTTTTTTTTTTTTTTTTGGTTTTTCGAGACAGGGTTTCTCTGTGGTTTTGGAGCCTGTCCTGGAACTAGCTCTTGTAGACCAGGCTGGTCTCGAACTCACAGAGATCCGCCTGCCTCTGCCTCCCGAGTGCTGGGATTAAAGGTGTGCGCCACCAAGCCAAGCAACAAAAACATTTTTAAGGGTCTCCTGAAGCCCAGGTTGACCTTGAACTCACTATGCAGGCCACACTGGCCTTGAACTCCTGACCCTCCTATAGTTACTGGGATTGTTTCTGTGAATCAGCACACCTGACCAATCACACAGTTTAAAAGGTAATTTGAGCTGTGACATCCCATTTCTTCTGTACATACCCATACCCTGTGTGTAGAAGTGTGTCGTTAAAATCTCATCCAAATTCAGGTGCTTTGTCTGTCTGTCTGCATAGTCAAACCATGACTTACATCTCCTTCAATTCTCAACAAATTCCAAATTCTTTGTTGTTGTTGTTGTTTTTCAAGACAAGGTTTGAAAGCCTTGTAGCTTTGGAGCCTGTCCTGGAACTAGCTCTTGTAGACTGGGCTGGCTTCGAACTCACACAGATCCGCCTGCCTCTGCCTCCCTAGTGCTGGGATTCAAAGAGTGCACCTCTACTGCCAGGCTAAATTTCAAATTTTATAAAGAGGCTCTGTGAAGATCAGTCACTAACCCAAGCTCCTGGGGCCAATAGTGGAAACAATGTTTAACTGTAGTTCCTCTTTAAAAAATAAAATAAAATAAACGGAATTGTTTTCAATTATCCTTGCCGATCCAACTGAGAGAATAAACTTCAAACTCTTGTACAATTAAAAAAAAAAAAGACTAATACCCAGTTCAAACTCTCATTATTCTAAAAACAGTAACTTCCACCAGGCTGCAATTTTATACGACGTTGCCACCCTGAGGGATGGGTGGTTATTCAATTTTTGCAATTAAATACAAACAAAATCAGGTCACTGATTAACATCCAGGGCGCGGATGGAGTGTCACAAGAAATTTTTAAAGACTTGCCGCCATTGCCGGCAAGGGCATCTTGGGAATTGTAGTTTCGCCATACTAAACTTGGGTCACTGGGATCCAATCAGCAGTAAGCCAACAACCATATGCACCACGATTGGCTGAGAGCCCCGGCCGCCCGCTCCTTGGCCGGTCACTCAGTCTTTTGCAAAGGCGGCCCACGGTCTTTGCGAAGCGTGTGGTCCTCTGGTTTGTTGGCAGAGCTGGTGGGTGATCCTTCAGGGCGACCATGGCAGAGCCACAGCCTGCGTCCAGCGGCCTCACGGATGAGGTCGCCCTCGGCTGCTGCTCCGACCCGGACCCCAGCACCAAGGTGGGCGATAGGGCCTCCTTCTCTGGCTGCCGGAACGGACCTGGGACTCTGGCCCGGCAGGTCTGGGCCGAATCCTAACGCTATCGGCGGCAGCCGCTGGTCCGCCGGCTTAAAACGCAGTGGAGTGAGCTAGGAAGAGAGAGGCCGTTGGAGTAGACAGTGCGGGGGGCGGAGGTATCCCCTTCTTCAGAAAGTTATTTCAAAACATCTGACCCCATGTGCTTTAGTTTGTTTATTTTTGCACGGTGTCTTGAAGCCAGGCCAAGTCTGGGTCAGATTCCATGTCTGTGTGTAGTTGTCCGTCAGTCAGACGCCATGGTCCTTTGGAGGGGCGGTTTCTGGACTCCCGTAGTTAAGGGCCCTGTCTATAACTGGCCCCTCCCAGCCGCACTCGCTCTCTGTAGTCGCCGTGAGTCCGGCTTTCACTCCTCCAAACTGATTTAACCGCATTTGCTCTTGCACAAGACCACACTTCTGTCCCCGTGAGTCTGGTGGAGAAACTACAGGACTTCGGTCTGAAGGGACTCCCAGACCATCTTCTGGCCCTTTTGTTTTGCAGTTACAGCCTAGTAGGGGCATAACCTGTGGCACGAGAAAGCTTTCGCGTCGCATGACTGTACTTACAGTCCGCTAGAATTCATTCAGGTGTGCTACCCTGGTCTGGGAGGTCCAAGCAGCCACCTCCGAAAGTGTCTCTGCATTGTGGCTGACGGAGGAATTTAGTCCTGTGTAGTCGTCTGTGTCAGTAAACACCTTTGCATATACTCATTTAGGTGTATCTTCTGTAAATCCCCGATGATTGAACGCAAGCTTTATGCAGACCTCTAGGAGGGGCAGAAGGGGCAGGTAGATGGCGAAGGACTTTGTTCCCTGCTTGTTCTTTGCCTTAAGGGCAGCGGAGAGTCAGGCATACTGTAATTGCCAAAGCCTTTGACTAGAACAAGGTGTGTACTGAGGAAAGATATTAGTCACCAGAAAGTTAAGGCAGGAAAGAAAGAATGAATACACACCACACACCTTTCCACACCTTCCACTTACATGTACCTTAGTTTGCATTTAATTTTTTTCTTTTTTTAATGTATTTTATCTATGTCTTGTTTGCTTGTAATCTGCACCTCAGAAGAGGGCATCGGATCCCATAGACAGTTGTGAGCCACCATGTAGTTTGCTGGGAATTGAACTCAGGACCTCTGGAAGAGCAGCCAGTGCTCTTAACAGCTGAGCCCGCTCTCCAGCCCAAAATGTACTTTTTTGTACCTTGATTTACATTCCACTTTCTCCAAATGCCTCTTGATTTGAAATTATCTTTTGAGACTAGGCATTTTTAGTCATGGGCCAAAATACAACTTAGCGTGTGGAGAAGTGTGTGTGCTGAGTGTGCTAGGCCCCATCTGATGTTGCCCTGTACCTGGTGTGTGCTGAATGTGCTAGGCCCTGAGCTGATGTGCCCGGTGTGTGCTGAGTGTGGTAGGCCCCGAGCTCATGTTGCCCTGTACCTGGTGTGTGTTGAGTGTGCTAGGCCCTGAACTGATGTTGCTCCCTACCTGGTGTGTGTTAAGTGTGCTAGGCCCCGATCTGATGTTGCTCCCTACCTGGTGTGTGCTGAGTGTGCTAGGCCCTGAACTGATGTTGCTCCCTACCTGGTGTGTGTTAAGTGTGCTAGGCCCTGAACGGATGTTACCCTGTACCTGGTGTGTGTTGAGTGTGCTAAGCCCAGAACTGATGTGTTTAAGCTCATTCATAACAACTCTCTGAGGAAGGGAGAATTGTCTCCGTTGTACAAATAAGGAGATTCAGACACAGGTACTGAGTGACTTGCCCAGGGAGGAGCCCATGTTCCCAGCCTCTACCCTCTCCTCTCTGCTTCTGAGGTAACTCAGACTGTAACTGTAGAACTTGTCGTGGAGGGGAGAGGGGAAAAGCCTTCAGTGAATGAGATTTAGCTGGGTTGCATACTAACTGCAAAGAACATGATAGGCGCTTTTGGGTGGGCGGCAATACCGGCATAAATGAGGACTTCGTTTTCGCCAAACACACACCAACTCTACGCACTTGGGATGAACGGGCTCTTGGCATTCCAAAGCATCCCGCGTGTGTTTGTCACTGCTGTGACCAAACACCTGCTAAAGAACAAGGGGAGACTGACTTCTGTTCACAGGTCAAGGGTGCATTCTGTGACGGTGGGAAGACATGGGGCAAGAGAGGCTCTAGCTTGTGTCAGCGGAAGCGTGAGGTAGCTGATCACATCATGTTTGCAGTTGGGACGTAGAGGGAGATGATTCTGTGCATGTAGCTGGCTGGCTTCCCACTTTTTATTCAGCCTGAAAGCCTAGTCCGTGGGACGGTGCCACCCACATTCAGGGTGCGTCAAACTTTGGGTGATTCTAAGTCCAGTTTCATGTTGTCACGGGAGATGAGCTGCCACAGTTTTCAAAGATCGCAGCAGTGGTGTCTTGTGGGCACAGGGTGTTTGGGATCTGGAGCCCTGCATTGGAATCCTCACGTCCTTGATTACTCCCATCTTGGCTGGGTTCCTGGGGCCCGTCAAAAGGAACGTAAAGATGACTCGGAGAGCTGGCCATGGTGGCACACACCTCTAATGCCAGTGCTCGGGAGGCAAAGGCAGGCAGATCTCTTGAGTTTGAGGTCAGCTTGGCCTACAGAGTAAGTTCCAGGACAACCAAAGATACACGGAGAAACCCTGTCTTGAAAAAAAAAAAAAGATAACTCGGGGAGCTGTTGTGAGGGTCCGATGAGATGGAATGGCCTGTGCTGGCCTGTGGAGATGGAGCTCAGGGTAGCATCCAGCTGTGAGGGTCGAGGAAAGCATTAAGCAGAACATGATGGTAGAACCACGTTTGTGTGGATGGGGTTCTCACACCCAGGGAGTCACACGGGAGATCCCAGGGGAAGGAAAGGAGACATCTTTACAAAAATATAATACCAGTAGGGTGGCAGAAGGGTGCAGGGCAGGCCATATTGTGGTGAGAGTCACATGAAGCCTTGGTAGAGAAGGCTAGCCTGGTCTGTTGGAATCAGGGCATGAAGAGAGAAGCCTGAATGTCATGTCTAAGAAGGTTAGGTTATGAGTGTGTGTGTGTGTGTGTGTGTGTGTGTGTGTGTGTGTGTGTGTAAAGCCTACATCATATCTAGTAGGTACATTATATAATATATTATATAATGTAGGTAGAGAATGGAGGGGCGGGAACACAAACCAGTCATTGGAGTACTCAAAATTTGAAAACTCCTTTTTGTTTTTCTCATCCTCCCTGGTGAGTTTGGAGTATGTGTGTATGTGTAACCCAGAACTTTGGACTTGCTAAAGCACATACGTGCTCTGACACTAAGATACATCCTGAGGCCAGAGTTAAACTAGTATATTATGCATGTATGTAATGGAAATCAGTATACATTTGTTGGGAGAACATGCCTCTTTCTCCAGAGATAAGCATTTGGCATAATGATTGGACTCAGCACTGTAAGGAGCAGTGACGAAGCTGTTGCTGAACAGCTAACAAATGTCAGACCTTGTGGACATTTAGCCCCAGGGTGTCAAGAAGCCACAACAAATCCACGATTGGTATTTCTTTCCTTAAACCCAGGATTTTGATTGTGGAACTATCACTCCAAATTGCTCTTGAGTAAAAACCTGCAAGAAGCAGAGAGCAGTCGGATTGGAAGCGGGGAGGACTCGAGCTAGGCAGTAGTTTTTAGGAAGGCTAGAAAGAGGGTTCCCGGGAGGGTTAAGCAGGCATGGAAGTGGCAGGCTTGGCTTGGCTCTTAACCTATTCAGTTCACTTCAGATAGGATTGAATTGAGGAGACTGAAAAAAGAACCAAGGAAGACTTCCCGCGTGTCTCTCTTATGCTAACGAGAGTGGCTGGGGCCTTCTCTCTCCTCTGTTTAAGCTGCGGTGCTTTTGATTCTCTGGTACAAGCGGATGTGGTGAGGAGGTCAGGGGTGGGAGTCCAGAGTTGAGGTTAGAGGGTTGGGCTGGGGAATGAAGATTTGGTAACCAAAACCAATAGTGTAATGGAACCCCTGGCTTTGTTTGTAACAGTTGCCGAAAGGCAAACAAAGTGCTTTGCTCTGGGCACGGCATTCGGTTAAGTACTTTCAATTTTTTAATTTTACATTTATGGGTGTTTTGCCTGCATATATGTCTGTGTGAGGTGTCAGAACCCCTGGAACTGGAGTTACAGACGGTTGTGAGCTGCCCTGTGGTTGCTGGGAATTGAACCCAGGTCCTCAGGAAGAGCAGCCAGTGCTCTTAACCACTGAGCCATCTCTCCAGCCCTGTGCTAAGTACTTTAATACATTACTGAATTTATACTTCAGTTCAGCCATAGACTGATTATCTTCATCCCAGAGGTGTGGAAGCAGAGGTTTGAGGAAAGTAACAACTCTCAGTACCACAATTGTAGAGCCATGTTATTGCCCGCTCAGAGTAAATAAATAAACAGACAAACAGTTCCTCTCACATGTGTGTTCTTCCTCCCTTTGCATGAGAAGAGGAATGCCTTGTGGGACTGACAAGAAGAGCAATACTGTTGGATGCAGCGTGGGAGACCTGAGTTCAGTCCCCAGGAAGGACCCTTGTAAAAAACCAAAAAGGGTCTCGAAAAACCAAAAAAAAAAAAAAACAAAAGGCCATGCATGTGCTGTGCATTTGTAAGCCCAGCAGTAGGGAGGCAGAGGTAGGTGGATCCCTGGAGCTCTCTGACCAGCCAGCCAGGCCTGCTCTGGGAGCCCCAGGTGGACACTATCTAGCAGCATCTGGAGTTGTCCTCTGGCCCCCACAGGCATGGACACACATTGCACAAGGACAGGCTACATATACACAAGAAGTGTAATGACCTCACAGCTGTATAGAGATCTGACAAGCATCCCACTGGCTTAAACTCAGGGTATGGGCGGAGCTTCCGTCCTTGCTGGAGGCTCCAGAGAGGCACCTGCTTCCAGCTCCTGCTGTTGTCTTATCTCATTTCCTCTCAGTGGTTGGACCTACACCCATGTTTTCTTACCGGTTGCCAGTGTCCAAAATGGGGGTGATAGTCAGGCTCTCAAGCAGCCCCTACAGTTTGTTTACTCATTCTGGCATCTCTGCAGCCACACCCCTCCTCACCATATCCACCATGTGCCAACTCTCTGTCTTCTGATGCTTTTAAGGTCTCGTGTGAGTGTATGAACCACCTACCCAACTGAGCCGGTTAAACCTTCCCCCGTTTTTTTCCAAGATAATATTTTAAGTATGTGTCGGCATGTCTGTGTGTGGGGTGTGTGCATGTAAATGCCTGTGGAGTCCAGAAAGGGTGTTGCATTCATTGGAGCTGGAATTACAGTTGTGAGCTACCCAGTGTGGGGTGCTGGGAAGTGAAACCAGGTCCTCTGCAAGAGCAGTTCGTGCCCTTAACTGCTGAGCTGTCTCTCCAACCCCAGTCTCTATTTTAAGGCCATCTGGTTAGTTAATTCCATTCTCAGAGTCCCTTACGGTAGAACCTAAGTTAATGTTTGAAATAATCTGGACCATGTTCAGAGCTGACTGGGTCTGCCAGCCTTCCCTCCTCCCAGGGCCTGTAGTGGCGAATCCCCAAGCCTAGTGTGGGAGGTTGGCTTTCTCTGATGAGGCCTGCCAAGGACTGCCTTTGAGATCACCGCTGTGTGGCCTGAAAGAGCACACATCAGCATCTCAGTGGACTTGGCCTCCCCACACACAAGCCCAGTAATTGATAGGGAAGCAGCAGGCACTCAACATTCGTTGGGAGAGGGAGATGCCTGCTATAGTTTGAGCATCTTGTTTTAGTCTCTGCTTAGACCAGCATCTGGTATGAAAGTGGACTTGCTGCTTTGTAAAAAGGTCTGAAATTGTTTTTTTTTTCTCATTTCGCTGTAGTCAGAGTGACTTTGTAGGTGTCTTTATGGCTGTATTCAGAGGATAGAGCCAGGTGGTCGGTGCCTGGCTGGGGAGCCGTTCATTGCTCTCTTACCTGATTGACAAAGGGGAGGGCAGCTCTGGATTTGAAAAGCCTGCGTAGGTCCAGAGAAATGGAACCTCGTGCCTTTTCCCTGGGTGCTGTGTGGCGTAGTGAGAGAAGCAGACCATGAGAGGCGCGCTGATGCTCAGGTCAGGGTATGAACTGCCCAGCTGTCCCCAGGAGAAAGGAATGCAGCACCTCCAAAAATGAGTTTGCAGTTTATAGGATGCTTTTAATTGGACAGGAGAGCGTTAAGGCAAAAGAGACTGCAGTAAGCAAAGTTTTATTGAGGGGGGAGGGGAGCCCTATGCTGTTAGCAGGAGGCTGTGGTCAAGCTGTTCTGCTCTGAGGGGTCAGCCCATTTCTGATTAGTGGAGAACACTGAGTTTCCATTTCCCTTAACGGCCTGGGTCCCACAGGGATTGTCCATCTTGGTATCTTAGGTGACCCTATTTTAGGATGAACAATGAATTTAAGTGCTCTTTAAGATCACTTTTTCATGATAGACAATGAATAGTGTATTTGCGTTTTATATGAGGTAAGTTTGGGGGAAGAGGCTGTTTGGTCAGAGCATTACTTGTGGGTGGAGTGAGTTTTCCTGTCCTGCAGCTGCTCTCAGAGCATAGGCACTCATATGTCCTGCATAGGCACTCAGATGCTTAATATAAATTATAAATGCTCTGCCAATAGCGCAGGTTCATTACCAACTCGCTCTTACATTTTCAGTTAACCCATATTCGTTATTTACACGCTACCATGTGGTGGTACCTTTATTAACATGGCACATCCATCTCCTGCTCCCTCTGTGTCTGGCTGGCTACTTCAGATTCTGCCCTTCTTCCTCCCAGTCTGACTCTCCTGCCTAACCTCATCCTGTCCAGCTATTCTTTATTAAACCAGTCACAGCGACAAATCTTCACAGTGGACGAAGGGACTGCTTTTCTCATTGTGATAAAACTACTTGGGGAAGGGCTTAGTTTGACTTGCAGTTCAAGTTACACGCCATTACGGTGGAGAGGTTGTGGTGGAAGGAGCTTGAAGTGGCTGGTCACATTACAGCCACAGACAATAATCAGAGAATGGGGACTGTTTGTGCTTAGCTAGCTTTCTTTTTTTTTTTTTTTTTTTTTTTTTTTTTTTTTTTTTTGGTTTTTCGAGATAGGGTTTCTCTGTGGTTTTGGAGCCTGTCCTGGAACTAGCTCTTGTAGACCAGGCTGGTCTCGAACTCACAGAGATCCACCTGCCTCTGCCTCCCGAGTGCTGGGATTAAAGGCGTGCGCCACCACCGCCCGGCTTAGCTTTCTTTTTTGTACAGTCCAGGACCCAATCCCATGGAATGGTCCCACCAATATTTATATGGGGATCCCCATTTTGATTAATCTCAAGATTTAGCTTAAGGCCTTGGGTTTAGTCCTCAACTCTGGGAGAAAAAAAAAACAACAACCAAACCAAACCAAAACAGACCAAAAAAGATGGATAAGTGGTGGAGCAGGCTTTTAATCCCAGCATTCTGGAGGAAGGGGCAGGTGGATCTCTGAGTTTGAGACTAGCCTGGTCTACAGGTTCCAGGATAACCAAAGAAACCCTGACTGGAGGGAGGGAGGGGGGGAGGGAGGGAGGGAGGGAGGGAGAGAGAGAGAGAGAGAGAGAGAGAGACAGAGAGAGAGAGAGAGAGAGAGAGAGGGAGAAGAAAATCCCTAAATCCCTCCTGCGGGCCTGGAGGCTAACCTAATCCAAATAATCCCCTGCAGGTGTGCCCAGAGGCTTGCCCCATAGTGATTCTAGAGCCCTAGCTATCAAAGCTGCAGAAGGATGATCAGTTTTCAGCCCCGTTGTGTTAAATCTATGGGTACAGAAGAATAACACTGTAGGAAGTGCCTGTGGCAAAAGAAAACCTGGCTTTACGAGAGTTAGATAATGAGTGTACTCAGTGTTGGCTTCTCATTTATAAAATGGAGATAATACTCATACATATATATTTTATCAGGGCTGGGAGTGTAGCTTCCTTGACTAGCATGCAGGAGGCCTGGGGTTTGATTCCCAGTACTGGGCAAGGTAGTGTAGTGTACACACGGGAGGTGGAGTCAGGAGTCTCAGCAGTTCAAGGTGGTCCTTGGCTGCCTGGTGAATCAAGGCCAGCCCGACTCAAAAAAATGGAGCCAGTGACTGTGTGTAAAGAAATCAACTCCTAACTAAAGTGTTATTAATAATTTTAACCCTATGAAATTATGCATTGTCTTCCCTTTTTTTAGGTAAGCCTTTTGTTTTCTGAGGAAGTTGAAGGCTTTACAAAGGGTTAAGACACTAAATTTTTGCTTCTAGGTTCTCTAGGAGTCTAAGGTCTTCATAAGGTCTTCCCATTGACACGTTACCAGTAAATTCAGAATCTCAGGGTGGCACAGAGGGTCACAGCGAGAGTAGCTTCTCAAGGCAGTTTCTTCCTGCAGAGACTGCTGAGGGCAAGGACTAGCAAGCGCCCTGGGGCAGGACAAGCTCTTGGTTTTTATACAGAGGGTCCTCTTCCATTGACTAGTTTTATAAGAATCCTCAGAAAGCGAAGGAGGAAGGGGTCAGCTGTTCAGGCCATCAGGTTCTAGGGGACTGGGGACGGGGCCCTCATTTCTCAGTAAATAGTTCAGCAAGGGTGTTTATACATTCATCAAAAAATATGGAGGCAGGTGGATCTCTAAATTCAAGGCCAATCTGGTCTACAGAGTGAGTTCCAGGATAGCCAGGGCTACACAGAGAAACTGTCTTGAGGAAAAAATGTATGTGTGCACATTTGTGTGTACGTGTGTCTGTGTTTGTGCGTGTGTGTGTATAAAATTGTAGAGCCAGGTATTGTATGGTAGCCCACACCTTCAATCCCTGTACTTCAGAGAAGTCAAGCTGATCTCTGTGAGTTTAAGGCTATCTCAGATTTGCTTAGAGAGTTCCAGGCTAGTCAGAGCTGCATGAGACCTTGTGTGTGTGTGTGGAGGGGGTGGGTATTACAGAGGTTGGATTCTTTGTTATGCCAATTAAAATTAATTTTGGTTGCACAAAATCAAGGTAGAGAAAGGATGCACTCGTTAGTAGTAGTCTATTTGGAAGGTAGAGTCACCGGAAGCCCCATGGAGTGGGGAAGTGCCAGAAAAAAAAATTGTTTTCTGCCACCTTGCTGGGGTGGGGAGGTGCAGGAATGATGTGGCGGCAGTCATTTCATTTCATAATTGTCCCACTAAAGCGAGTGCTGGTGGCTCTTGCCCATGACCTCAGGACTTGCGTGTGAAAGCCAGAGGGTCAAGCAGGGGCCAGTTGGTGACACAGCAAGTTTGAGGCCATATGAGGTAATGCCACTGGAACCCAAAACGAATCAAGACAACCACCAAGGTCCCACCAAGCCCCAGTGACTCAGAAAGCCAGGTTTTTCAAATCACTGTTGAAGGGCATTCCTGGAATGGTAAGTCGCTGGCTCGCAGCTGCTCCACCCAGAAGCTTGCAACTGAAGAGCACTTGGCAGAGAGCTCGGGAGTGGAGCGAGGGGCGTAGGAACTGTTCGAGGGAGCTACTGTTGAGGCTGGAGATGGGCTTGCGTTTTCCGTTTGCTTTACAATGCTGAGCTGGTTGAGAGCACAGTGAACACCGCAGTGTGGAAAGTTAGGGACTGAACCTACTACACTGTTGTCTCCCCTTAGGACTTCCTAATGCAGCAAACCATGCTAAGAATTAAGGATCCTAAGAAGTCCCTGGATTTCTACACTAGGGTTCTTGGACTGACGTAAGTATTTCTTGGTGCCTTCGTGTTGAAACCCTCAGCGTTAGAGAAGATGGCTCAGGAGTAGAAGCAGAGAACTGCCCTGCCCCCCAAATTCCCCTACCCTCCATAGCAATTAATATTAATTTTTTTATAAAAAAACCCAAACAACCTTTTTTTCTTTTCTTTTTTCATAACAGAAAGTCTTTGGTTGAGGAGCCTACAAGGAGGCCTGACTAGACAGCACTTTGGTTAGGTTCTATTTGTATCAGGACTGGTCAAGGCGCAAGGGCAACAGGAGGGGCATGTGATTTCATTTTCTGCAGACTCCCTTCTGCCTGAGAGCTGGCCAGCTAGATCATTCTTCCGTTCAGACCCTTGACATACTCGGAGTGCTTCTAGCTCCGTTTGCTTCTGAAACGTGAATGGCAGGATGCATTATCAAGAAAAGGAATGGCTTTGTTTACAGCCGGCCCTGGTTCCGGTTTTAGAGGCTGCATTTTCTCTTGCTAAAGGGTAGTAGCCACGGGTTTGCAACTCTTTCAACATTTTGGTGTGCTGTATTTTCTATTGGCTTTATTGGGGTATAACTGATCATTTGACTTTTCTTGGTTTGTTTCCTCAAATGCCATGAGGTTTTTGATGGCACACATAATTAAGTGAAATGATCTTAAATTTCCTGCTTTTCATTTACTTCCACAAGTTTTAAGAGACCTGCCCAAGTAATACATCTGAATTATGTATGGTTAGAAAATGTGAGCAGTTCTGAAGACTACAAAACGAAGAGGAATGGCTTCCTTCTCTGGGTCCTTCCCCCCAAACTGCTCTTAAATTCTTGTGATTCTTTCCTGTGACAGTGGCTTTCTGGTGTGTACAGCATATTTAAAGGGCAGAGAGAAAATGAATGCCCGGACACCTACTGTTGGCCAGGCGCCAACCCTGTTACTCCCTTGTGCCTTCGCAACAGGCCTTGCAGGCAGCTTGTGTCCTCCTTCTACACGTGAAGAAAGGAAGTTTCTGCTCTCTGACCCCACAGTTGGCAGAGCTGAAACCATAAGCAGGTTGACCTTTGTTTTTAAATAGCTCCCAGGTAGAGCCTACATCCAGTGGTCCAGGAATAGTGATAACAGGGATAAGTAGATAAAAGATTAGAGCAGAACTCTGGAAACTGATGGCTCAGTTGGTAAAGTGCTTGCCATGACCGCATGGAGATTTCAGTCTCTTGGAACCCACGTAAAAGTGTTGGGTGTGGTAGTGTGCACCCTGCAGGCCTGTTGCTGGAGCCACAAAGTTCTAAGGCCGTCCTTGCACTCAGGCAGAGGCAGAGGCAGGTGGATCTCCTGCCATCTTAGCCACTTTAGCAATTGCAGGCCAGGAGGGGTCACTTACTGACATAGTCTCTGAGGTTGAGGGTGACTGAAAGACAGTGGAGAGAGTTGAGGATACCCTGTGTCAACCTCTTACCTCTACATGCGCAGTATGCTCCGTATGTATGTATGTATGTTTCCATGTCTGTGCACACACACCCCCACCCCCCAAAAAAGACATTTTGCTAGGCTTCAAGTACTTGCTCTTGATTATGAACAGAATCGTCTTTGAGCATAATTAATCCTCTGTATTATGTGTATTGCTCTGCTTACATGCGATCTAATATTCTTTAAACCGACTTGATAAACTGTCACTTTTAAGAGCCTCAGGGCTCCTTCACCCTTTGCATCAAGTCTCTCCTTGTCCCACCCTCTTTCTCCCTTCCACCTACAAACTTCCGAAATCTCTGGAGACTTTCTTGCCCTCTGCACCCTCGTTTGTCCTCGTCACTCTCTGCCGCGGGTCTGGGTCTGCGGAGGCTCCTCTTGCTGGACTCCCTCCTTCACCCCGGCCCTGTGTCAGCTGCCTGGTCGTGTTGAAGCCGCTCCCACAGAGCCTTCCCAAGTCATGTGACCTTTTTTCAGTCTTAATCCTGTTTCACCTTTCTGCAGTATTTGAGACTTTAGCCTTCCTATTGTAGATATTCACTTGTCTGTGATATTAATCTGCCCTTCTCTCCTGCCACCTGGCCTCCATTTCCTTTCGGGTGCTTTTTGAAGAGCAGTAGATGTGTTTAACTGAAAGAATGGCAGGAAAAGGTGTTGTTCACTGAAACCCAAACCTAGAACATTTTTCCCTGCTTATAGATAAGCACTGTGATGCTAGCTGAATTTCACTAAATTTGAATAATTGAGAGATGATTGTGCCGAGTCACCCGTGGAAGTGGAGCACTTGGGAGGCTGAAGCAGGGGATGGGTGAATTGGCGCTTTCTAGTGAGTTCGGGTGTGTCTCACAAAACAATAAAACAAAGACAAAGAATCGATGGATTACAGAACCTCGCCCCTCACAGCTCGGTGCAGGAACCTGGACTAGGGGTGGCGAAGGAGTGAGGAAGGAACAGATACTAAAGAAACTGCTATGTGGACACAGAAAAGCTGGGGTCAGGTGGTCTGTCTGTGCGCACTCAGAGTGGTCCCAGCTACCTGTGTGCAAGGGTGGGCTGGTCTCGGTAGGAGGTGTCTGGAGGCAGCAGTTAGGCATCCTGCAGGAGCAAGCTGTAGCTGCTAACTTTTGCATACACTGTGAGCATTGTTGTCACTTGGCCTAGAGGAAGGCTTTGCAGTCCATCTGAGCCTAGGGGTGTGTTGGGAGCTCTTCTCTTCCCATGGGTCTGAGCATTGGTCCTTGACATGGCCACGCTCATGTCAACAATACACATTCCCTCAAGACTTCACCCACTTGACGCTTTGACGCAATGCTTCCTTGGCTCTCAGAACTTTTTATTTTATTTTGTGTGTGTGTGTGTGTGTGTGTGTGTGTGTGTGTATTCACGCATGTACTAGAAGGGACATACCATGTATAAAGGCCAGAGGTCAACTTTGGGTGCTGTTTCTCAGGAACCGATCACTTTGGTTTTTGAGACAGGGTCCCTCATTGGCACCTGCTAAAGTTGCTGATCAGCAGGCTCCTGGGGTGTGCCGGTCTCTGCCTTCCCAATGCGACTATTGCCAGCACACATCATCACTCCTGGCTTTTTACGTGGGTTCTGGGGACCCACTTATACATACATATACTTACACAGCAAGCTCTTCATAGATGGAGGTATAAATGAGGTCTTTTTCCCACTAATTTTTGCCCATGGTTTTCTCACCAAAGTAACTACATTGCATATGGCCCTTATTCCTGGTAGAACTTAAATATTATGTTAAGTTTATTACCAGCCTTCGCTATTGTAAATGACTATGGCTTTTAATTTCAGGCTACTCCAAAAGCTTGATTTTCCTTCGATGAAATTCTCCCTCTATTTCTTGGCTTACGAGGATAAGAATGACATCCCTCAAGACAAGAGTGAGAGAACAGCTTGGACGTTTTCCAGAAAAGCTACGCTTGAGTTGACACAGTGCGTATAAGTCTTTGTCTCTTTATAGATCCTAATTTTTTATAAGGTATTTTTAAAGAATCTCTTTTTATGTGGTTTCCAGTCTAAGTCAAATTATATATATGTAAATTTCATGTGCCTTCATGTTTTGCTTGCATGTATGTCTGTGTTGGATCCCCTGAAACTGAAGTTACAGTTAGTTGTGAGCTGCCATGCGGGTTCTGGGAATTGAACCCAGGACCTCTGGAAGAGCAGCCAGTGCTTCCAGCCGCTGAGCCATGTCTCCAGCCCCCTAAATCGATTTTTAATATTTTTATTATTTTTAAATATTTGGGTCTTCGTGTTATTTTTTTTTATTTATTTATTATGTATACAATATTCTGTCTGTGTGTATGCCTGAAGGCCAGAAGAGGGCACCAGACCTCATTACAGATGGTTGTGAGCCACCATGTGGTTGCTGGGAATTGAACTCAGGACCTTTGGAAGAGCAGGCAATGCTCTTAACCTCTGACCCATCTCTCCAGCCCCCCTTCGTGTTATTCTTATGGTTTCTTTAGGACAGAGAGAACACATTTTTCTTTTAGAGAATATAAGACCCTGAATTGGCAAGATATTTGCCAAACTATAGATTATTAATTTTATAACTTACAGATTCTCCTAAAATCTTCTGATAGTCATATTTTTGTCCTTTTATTATTTTGCTGTTTTTGATCCAGAAATGTTATAGAATATATTCCTTTTAAATAACCAGCACATAATTTTGTAATAATTTTTTGTTTGTTTGTTTTTGGTTTTTTGTTTTGTTTTTTGAGACCGGGTTCTCTGTGTACCTTGGAGGCTGTTCTGAAACTCGCTCTGTAGACCAGACTGGCCTTGAACTCACAGAGCTCTGCCTGCCTCTGCCTCTTGAGTGCTGAGATTAAAAGCAGGTGCCATCATTGCCTGGCCCCAACATTCAAATTTTAAGGTGCTTTTATAACCTCAACATTTAAAAGTACAGAATTAAAGGACTCCCCATTTCTTTCTGTGTTAGTATGTATCCTTTGATTCAGAAACACTTGCTTAAGTGGCCGACCGTCTTGTCTCCAGAATGGAAATGCTCAAATCTGGTCCATGGAGCTCGTCTCCAGAATGGAAATGTCTCAAATCTGGTCCATCTAGAACTTAGTGCAGAAAATGATAGTTGCTGCAGCTTTTATTCTTGCTCTTATCTGGGTGCCGGGTTCGACCATCTTCTTAACCTAGGTAGAATCTTCTTTGCCAGCTTGTCCTTCCTGCAGGTGAAAAAATCAGTTTTGCGGTAAAGTAGCATGTATACAGACTAAGCCTTCGGAGAGTTCCCTTCTCATAGGCTATTCTAAGGTCAGAACTGCAGTTACTATCTTGTGCAAGCCTTCTTCTCTAGAAGAACAGAACCAATAGAATGTAGATAGAAAAGGAAATTTATTAGATTGGTTTACATGGTAGGGGTTGGGTAGTCCCAGCAATGGCTCTCTGAACACCGGAGAAGCAGAGAACCCGGTAGCTGCTCCATCCACAAAGCTGGATGCCTTAGCAGTCTTACACTAGTATGGAAGGCCTTGGGGCTCCCTAGAAGGCCAATAAGCTGGAGTCTGTTATCAGCTGAGAGTAACAGCAACAGATGCAGGACAGCTGGAAGGTGTTAGCTGTGTTTGCTGTGGGTCTTTTTTTCTGGAAATTTACTCGAGGACACACCCTGAGGCGCCTCTTCCAGGTTGGTGCTAAGTCCCTCAGGTTGGCAGTTACAGCCTGCTAACACAGTCCTTTCCTCTGCAGCAACTGGGGCACCGAAGTTGATGAGACCCAGAGTTACCACAACGGCAACTCAGACCCTCGGGGATTTGGTATGTTTGCCCCATTGTATGGTGTCTGTGGGTGTGTATGATTTTACATGGTATACATATTTATGGTACAATAAACTTAAGACACAAATGACCTAATTTTCAAGTAATTTACTAGGGATATGATTATTTTTATTTGCTGCAGATCTTATTCAGCAGCTATCTAATTTCAGTATTGGTCCAAACATTGTGTTTGCTTTCTCATAATACTATGCTATAAAGTCACAGCATTATGTTTCCAGTAAACTTTATTGTGGGGCTAGGAAGAGAGTCTGCAGCCTTACCCATGCCAAGCGAGCGTTCTAAGCTGCCCTCCCTTTCCTTCTAGGAGAGTGTTCAATTAAAACAATGATGACCGTGGTTAATAATAATCCCATTTTCTGGCAGTGTCTTGTCAAGGGCTGAAGAGATGCTTCAGTGGTTAAGAACACTTACTGTTCTTGTAGAGGACCTGGCCTTGGTTCTCAGCATCCATGTTGTAGTTTATGGCCATCCATAATTCCAGTTCCAGGGGATCTGATGCCCTCTTCTGACCTCAGTGGGTATCAGGAGCACACACAGTGCATATACAATAAAATAAATCTAAAAATATGTATCTTGTCACGTGGCAGAATAGTGAGTTGGGAAAGGTAGTGAATGTCTACAGTTAATCTATTAAACAGGAGTAAATGATAACCTTTCGGGTATAGATTATCTAAACAGATCGAAGTATGCATTAGTCAGTATTGGTTTATTTCAAACAACAATTCACAACTATTTGACTATAACTAGCCAGTCAGACAGCTACTGGCCCTTTAATATATAGATTTTGAACCTATTTAGCTTTGTCTCCAAAGGCCTTGTGTTTTGAAGTAAGTTTTGGAAGCCGTTTGCAGCACGTGGGTGTACTCTTATAATCATTTCTTTCTGTGCTTTGTTTTTGGGGGAATGGTATCACCAAAGGTCACATTGGGATTGCCGTTCCTGATGTCTACAGTGCCTGCAAAAGGTTTGAAGAGCTGGGGGTCAAGTTTGTGAAGAAACCCGATGATGGTGAGTCAACCCACCCTTCACCATGTGCATAGCTGTGATTGGTCAGCCTGCCCCTCACTGTGTGCACTGTAATTGGTCAGTCTGCTCTGCACCACAGCTGTGATTGATTAATATGTCTGAGGAGCCATGCTGGTTGGATGCAAGTAACTGGAAGCTCTTTTCAGCAGTCCTAGGAGCAAAGGAACGTGAAGAGAATACCTGGCTCTCTTAAGAGACCAGAAAGAACTGGTGGCTTCACCAGGACACAGGACCTGGAAAGCCATGGGACCTCGCCTTCCCTTCCCTAGCCCTGCTATTTTCTCTCATTGGCTACCAGCTTTCAGGATTTCAGGGTGTAGGTAGTTGCTCCTAGATGAATTCTCTGAAGTGTATTTTGTTGTCAATATAACTTTGTCAGTTTACTAATAATAACTGATATTTTTCATTCTTTTATACAATTGTATATCCTATGCTTTGGGTATGTGTCTTGAAATAGCATATATCTGAATTCTGTTGGATTTATATGTATCATTATTATTATACTTAGATCTATTCTTACCTTCTTAAGTTTTAAAATTAATTTTAACTTTGGAAATACGTTCTTGCCCTGTAGCCCAAGCTGCCCATGAACTTAGGATTCTCTTTTCTCAGCCTCCTAGTTACTGACATTATAGTGTGCCACCGCAGTTTGAGACATTTCACGAGCTTAAGCAGTAAGTAGTTCTTTGGTAGAGCCCTTGCCTAGCATGCACTGGGTCATAGGTTCAGCCCAGCACCAAAAACCAACCAACCAAACAAACAAACAAAAAAAAAGAGCCCAAACCAACCAACCAAACACATAACAAAAACCCAGAGAAAAATAAACGAGACATTTTAGTAAAATTGTTTGAAGGAAAACATGTCCTATGGGATCCCCTCAGTAAGTGAACAGCTCTCCTCTCTGCTCACATCAGCTGCTGTCACCTAGACTGGGTTAGTGATTTTCTTTTCCTTTCTTTTCTTTCTTTTCCTTTCTTTTCTTTTCATTTTTCTTTTGGCCTTCACATTTTTAAAAAAATAATGTAGTACAGTATTTTGAACATCTTCACTCCGTTTCTCTCTTGAAGCATCTTTTAGATTTTCCTATCTTAGCAGGACTATGTTCTGAGGTTTTGTGAGGTTAGGCCTCTGAGACACATGCATGGGAACCAGGCACACGTGGGTTAGTTCTGGTGGGAATCCTCTGCTTGTTTTCCTTCACCACTGAAAACGCTCCTGTACTGTCATTCTGTATACAAGTGTCCTTGAGAATGCTGTTAGTATTTCCTCTTTATTTTATTTTATTTATTTTTGGGAGCTTTTTGTTTTACCAGCTACTTTCCCCTCACATGTGTCTATTCTGATTTTCCACCTTTTTCCCTTTGTATGTGTCTGTGTGTGGAGTGTGTGTCTGTGTGTAGGCCTCGGTTGACAGTGGGCATCTTCCTTGAATACTCTCCACTTTATTTAATAAGGCAGAGTGAGTTCCCTGGAGAGCCCAGCCCCAGCACTCACACCGGGGTAACAGGTAGCCGCCAGGCTTGCCCACCTGCCACCTTCTCAGGGGGGCTCTGGGAATCCAGACTTAAGGCCTCATGATTGTACAGCAAATGCTTTAGCCATTTCCTGTCAGCCCAGCTCTCTGCTGGAGGCTTTGTTTCTGGCCTCATTTCTTGGCTCCCTAACATTTTCTTTGTCTTAGTTCACATTGGCAATACTAATAGTGCTCTCTCATGCCTTAATAACCCTTTGTCCACTCATTGTTCTAATAGTTCATACTGAATTTGAATCTATAATCCACATAATTATGTTCCTAGATTATGTTAGTTCGGCTTCTGAACTATTTTTCCCAACAACTGTAAACTGTTGTAATCTACCAGGCCACGTGACTGGCAGAAGAGAACTGTCCCTAGGGATCTGCATGATCTCAGGAAGACAGGCTGATGAGCCCTGGGCTGAGTTTTCTGGGTACTAAATGACAGCTCTTCCCCTTAGAGGCTTTCCCCCTCAGGGCAAAGCAGTATTAGTAAGAGACACACCTGAGGTTGTCACACGCTTGTTCCTGGATGTGTGGGGACATAAGGAAGGCCAGCTGGTTCAGTCTTCTTAGCTTCCTTGTTAGACAAGCTCTGTCCCCCTTCACTCTTGAGGACATCTGGCAATCAGTAGCTGAGCCCCTCCCAAGTGCCAGGGTGGGTGTCGCTTGCCGTGGGAGGCAGAAGCAAGCACCCTGTTTATTCTCCCACAGCCACAAATCCAGAACTTGTGTTCTGACTCCAAAATACTTTCTGTATGGATCAGGGAATGGTCGCCTGCGGCCTCAGCCACAGCCCTCGAGATTGCTTAGCTGTGTTTTACCCTCTCTCTTTCACCCTGGTTTGTAGTCCGTGACCTTGGGGTCAGGAGGCAGACGTTAGAGTCAGATGAGTCCACCATCTTAGTCCCCACATAAATCAATCTCTCAGGCCACATTTATACGTCTGAGTAAACAGCTCCCTCTGGTTACAGTTCCCGGGAGTCACAGTGTGATTGACAGGGCTTGGGTTGCCTAGTGTATTGTTTAATAGGGTTTACGTGACCCAAGCCTCTGGTGTCTTGGTTGTGTGAGGAGGCCACGTTATCTGTTCCCTTGAGCATACCTCTATCTTCTTTTCCTTCTTAAATAATTTCTGTGATTGGTGGTATGGTAGCCTCAAGGTGAGGCAACGACCTCATACTTAGCAGGACTGTTTTCAGCTCCTTCTGGAAGGTCATTCTAGCATTAGGATAACCGTGGTACCATTTAACACAAACTTTCTAGAATGGAAACTATCAACAATGTGTCTCATTCAAATGCAGATTAAAATTGTAATGAAAATGTGTTTGATTTTTAATGTTCCTTTCTGGTAATGAGAAGTTTTCATTCCACAGGTAAAATGAAAGGTCTGGCATTCATTCAAGATCCTGACGGCTACTGGATTGAAATTCTGAATCCTAACAAAATAGCAGAGATTATTTAGTTCTTTGTTGGAGTCGGTGGGGACAAGCAGCAGCGCGAGAGAAGCAGCTGAGGCCCCAGAAGCATCGAGAACTGACGGATCTGTGCCCCAGCTCCAGCCGCTCTGAAATCCCTCTCATTCTCCTGTTTCAGTGGCTTTTTCTTTTTAAATCCCACCCCCTCTATTTAGTCAACCTAATTTTCAAGTACCAGTTTATCTTATGACTTTGACAAAGTTATGTGACTTTACTTTTTAGATAATAATTAGAACGATTCCCTCCGGAGACCACGTCTGTTCCCGCCTGTCTCTTCAATACTACTCAAGTCTGGTTTTGATCTATCATTTAAAATTTTGTTTTAAATGTTTCTTTTTCTGTTGGGGGACTGTTACCTTCTGGGGTTTCAATTCCTGAGAAATGATTCTTCATAATGGAAAGTAAAGAGTTCTGAACAGAAATGAAGCTTCATGTGTGCTTCAAACAGCATAGTGTTTATTTTACAAACGAGAAGGCACTCGAGAGCAGTTCTGAATCATGCTGACAAGGACACTGGCAGAAATTTTATATATATATATATATATATATATATATATATATACACACTCAAGGTTCAAGGACTAACTTTACTTTTGTAGGAATGTGGAGAAGGAAGGGCTTAATTTACTGGGTACTTAGACAGTGGCTAGGCAGCAGCATGCTTCATGTGAGTGGAGACTGCAGTTACCGTCATCATTTTGGTACCTGGATTACGCCTCACTGTAGCTCCTGCGCTAGTCTTCTGCTGTGAGACCTGCGGTGAGCTTGGCTTTGTGCCTTTGCTCTCGAGCTTGACTGCAGTGGAAGAAGCATAGAAGTCTCAGCACAAGGCTGGCCTAGGTGACATTCTGTGTGAGTGAGGCTCACACGAGTCTTCCCCACCCCAGGGTCTTCATGAATTCACTTAGGATAAATTATTTCCAGTGATAGCTCAGATATCAGGAATTCGCTCAGTGATCTACCCTGCTGACTGATGAAGGCTTTCTAAGAGGCAGTTTTGAAAACTTATGGCCTGGAGGATAAAACCCAATTTGAGGTCAAACTGCATTGAAGTTTTCTGCGGTGTAGTGGCAGATGTCTGGACGGGTGATGTCGTCAAGTGTGACACTGCTAGAAGCGCTTTGTTTCTTTTGGGGATGGAATGGATTAATGTGAGCAGTTTAAACAAACCACAGACAGAAATAAAACGCTGTTTAATACGTAAAATTCTGTGTGGCAAGTTCTTTCTTATAAAAAGCCTTGAAGAGGAGATCTTGTAAATGCACAGTGAACCTGCATGCTGAGCCAAGAGCACACATGGTTCTGTGCAGACTGAAAGGCAGAGATAAATGCATGCTGAGCCAAGGGTACACATGTTTCTGTGCAGACTGAAAGAGGTAAATGCATGCTGAGTCTGCATGCTGAGCCAAGGATATGCATGGTTCTGTGCAGACTGTAAGCCAGGTAAATGCATGCTGAGTCTGCATGCTGAGCCAAGGGTATGCATGATTCTGTGCGGACTGTAAACCAGACAGTTTCTATGGTTAATGACGTGTGGGAAAGAAAAATACAGAACCAGCAGTGGTTGCTCACACCTTTAATCCAAGCACTCAAGAGGGAGAGGCAGAAAAAGCTCTGTGAGTTCAAGGTTAGCCTAGTCTACAGAGTGAGTTCTAGGACAGCCAGGGCTACACAAAGAAAACTCCCCCCCCCCCTCTTTCTGTGTGTGTGTGTGTGTGTGTGTGTGTGTGTGTGTGTGTGTATATATATATATATATAATCTGCAATAATATATGATTTTAGGGAATTGTAAGTACAAGAGAAAGACCAGATAGTAAAAAGTGGGTCACAGGCATTTAGGAGGACCAGTTTTGAATGATCAGTACTAAAATCACCAAATGGGAAGCCTACTGAATTCATCTAACAATTTCAACCTTATTTCCAGGGAGAAAAAGACTTCTGTACTTGCTAAGTGAGTCTTTCCAAAGGATAACCCTTATTTCTTAAGTTCATTACTAATGCACTGAAAAAAATGTATGTGGCTGGGCCTTGGCAGGAATTCAAACGGTGCATTTTCAGATACGCTTGCCTGGGAAGTGGTGATGGCGAGAACGGACTGTAGCTCAGGATGCTTGCTGCTGTCCATGCTGAGACAGCAGTATTCTAGCACAGTCCTGGAGAGTACTGGTCTTCCACAGACCTGCACGCATGCTGGGACTCCACTGCAAGTGGCTTAAAGAGCCAGTGGTTAAAGACTCACTTGTGGCTTCCCAGTGCAGCATTTTGACCAAACAGTATAATTGCAACTCATAATATGCTGCTATAACAAAAAAAAACCAAACCCATAGACTAGGTAGTGTAAACATTTTTTTACACTTCAGGAGGCTGAACCATCCAAGAAGAAGGCAGCAGCAGATGCAGCCAGTGTCTGGCAAGGGTTCTCTTCCTGTCTGTGTCCTCACATGGAAGAAGTTAGCTCATGTCTGTCCTTTCCAGATACTCAGCCCATTCTGGAGGGCTTCACCATAACTTAATTAGCATATGAAGAACTCATCTGTGGTGGTTTGAATAGGTTGGCCCCGGTAGACTTGTGTGTTTACATCTTGGCTGTAGAAAGTGGTACTACTAGAAGGTGTGGCCTTGTTGGAGGAAGTGTGTCACTATGGGGATGGGCTTTGAGGTTTTGTATGGTCAAGCTACGCTCATATCATAGTTCACTTCCTGATGCCTGCAGATGAAGATACAGAAGAACCCTTACCTTCTCTAGCACCATGTCTGCCTGTATGCCATCATGTCTTGCCATGAGTATAATGGACTAAACCTCTGAAACTGTAAGCTAGCTCCAAATAAATGTTTGCCTTTATGAGAGCTGCCATGGTCATAGTGTCTCTTCACAACAATAGAAGCTCTAAGACATTTCCAAATAACATTTTGGGGAGTGCTGTAGGAATTCCTACAGCCAGTAGCCTGTCACTTAACATCTTCCTCTTCGGGTCAGTACTATTTATGATCAAAGATGCCTAACACCAGGCTGAGTGCTGGGTGTCGATCAAAGTCTAGTGGAAGAAAGTAACCTTGTTTCCTCACTTGTCAGGATAGGACCGAAATGTTTCCCAAGGCTCCTTCGCCAAACTCATCTCCTTATCTTCTGCATGACCAACAATTTTATGGAGTATTGGTTATTTTGCAGACTATTTCACAGTTGGGGTTTCTGCTTTTGCGTGATGACAATGATGAAAGTGGGGTTGTATGTCTTTAAGTGGAGGACCACAGGTAAAACGCCCTCTCTTATTGAGGGCACACGCATTCAGAGAGCATCACTAACTTAACCGTGTGGCCTGCTGAGATTATGTTTGTCAAGTTTCTCCAGCTGAAACTTTTCCTCTGCCCACATCTGTACTCTTCAGAAGAAAGTCAACTATGTGAAGCCCCAAACCAGGGAATTATGCTTTACTTCTTTCAGAGGTGAAAAAACAAAACAAAGCGGGTTTTTGCCTATATGAATGTTCCTGGTTTAAATATTGCGCAGATTATTTTGGGGTATCAACTGTCCCTGAACCTTATCTGTAGTGGCATTTCAATTGTATTTTCATAAATAAAGACTGCCTGAAGATCTGAGAGTAAAACAGTCCCACTGGTCAGCCTTATAGACCAGGTTATGGTAACACACACCTTTAATCCCAGTAGCCACACTAGTTCCCATAGAAAATGGGCGGTGTATGCCTTTAGTGGTGGTGGTGCATGCTTTTAATCCCAGCCTGAGAGAGGATGATAAACCGGGAGGAAACGGCTCTCAGGCACAGTCTCATTCTGAGATTCTTGGAGGCAGGATCACCATTTTTGGACTGAAGTCGAGGAAAGAGCCAGTGATCGACTGTTTTGCTTTTCAGATCTTCAGGTTGAACCCCAATTTCTGACCTTGAGTTTTTATTAATCTTGCTTCACTCACCCACTAAGTACCACTAGGAAAACCAACTGAAAATGGCCCCCATACATTTCCAGAATAACCCCTAGAGGTCAGTACTGCCATGCTGGAACCACTGGCCTCAAGATTTCTGATTCTAGCTTCTTCAAAGTGGAGTGTGACCTGGCAGCATTTACAAAGGAATGAGTACGGTCTACACTTTGATGCCTTCCTGCTTATGGACAGAGGGTATTTTCCACCTCTGATCAGCAGCTACTTATCTGAGTTGTTTGCCTTTGGGGCTTTTCTGAATTTGAGTCCAGCCTGGTCTACAGAGTGAGTTCCAGGAGATTCAGGAACTCACTCTGTAGACCAGGCTGGACTCAAATTCACAGAGATCCTCTTGCCTCTGCCTCCTAAGTGCTGGGATTAAAGCCATGGACCACGATGCTTGGCTCAAATTTCAATTCAGGATGACAACATATTAAAAATTATAAAATACATTTAAGTTGTTTGAAACTCTTGTATAGCTCAAAAGTCATATTCTAAATAATCAAATTCAATTACATGCCCTTCAAATTTTCCTTAGTATACTTAATTTTTGACAGTTGTAATAGGTAGATAATAAACTACTCAGGAAAGAAGGCAGCACATCTCAGCCACTTTGTCCACTCTCAGCTGATTCGGGAGCAGCATTCTATTTTGCTAATGTTTACTCTGTTTTAAAGCCATAGTCTGATAGGCACAGCCCGCATCGCCAATACCCCCGGCGCATACTGCTGATGTCCACAAGTCAACGACAGCTTTGTGGCCCTTTCATATCCCCAGACAACCTACATCTCAGCACCGTGATTTCTCCCTTTTCGCAGTTACAGGAAGATATGGTCACTGCATAGGAACTCACTGATCGTCAGGGCTGTCCTGCCTGACTCTCCCCCCAGCACCACAGGGGTCTGTGGTCTGGCTGCTTGGATGGAGGTGGGCCATGAGCTACCAAGACAGGCAGAGAGGGGAGTTAATGATTTCAGCATCATGTCATGTAATGACATAAAGATTTCATGGAGTGTGCATAGCCTGATAGGGGGCACAACATCATATTAAATGTACTAGAACGAGGCTGAGGATGCAAGGTAGTTGCTGTGTTAAGAAAAATTATGGTCTGTGGAGACAAAATGGACAAAGCAGAACAGCAGCAAGCAAAATATCAACAGGCCCAAACTAGGTTTAAAATCACTACTAACCACCCTATATGGCTCTGCCAGGGGCAGTTTCTAGCATCTGATGGACACGTGTGGATCTCAAAACTGGACATATTATCAGAATCTCCTGGGGTTTGTTTAAACACAGGCGTCTGGGCCCCACTGATGGACTGGGTCTGCAGAGGGCTCTACAGTGAACATTTGTTTGCTGTGTGTGTGAGAGAGAGAGGAAGAGGGGAAAGAAAGAATGTGTGGAGACCTGGAGTTGACATCAAGGTATCATCCATTGCTACACCTTAGTTTTTAAAAAACACGAACTACCACTGAACCTGGATCTCACCATTTAGGCCAGACTGCTGGTCACTGAGCCCCTGGGATTCACTTGTCTCCAGCTATGCTCAGTATTCGGGTTATAGATGACACTGGATACTACACCAAGCTTTTTCACATGGGTTGGGATCCCGAGGTAGATCCTCATGCTTGTCCAGCAGGCACCTTGACCACTGAGCTACCTCCACAGCCTTACAATGACCAGCTCTATCCAGTTCCCAGGTGATGCTGATGAGGCTAGTCATCATGGACCACACTTGGATGATGGTACCACGAGGTATCAATGTTCTGTGTGACTCTGTGGGTAAGCAGCACACAGAGCTGTGCAGGAAGCATACCCAAACTACAGGTAGGAAACAGAGAGTACTGAGGGAGATCATGACTGATTCACTTGCCGTGATATGGCAGGGTCAGTCTTCCTGGCAACCACTCAGTGGATTCTGATTCTGAAAACAAGTTACGTGTAGAAATTGGGTAAAAAAAATTTTTTTTTTCCCAGACAGGGTTTCTCTGCCCTGGAACTCACTTTGTAGACCAGTCGTGCACTGTTACCGTCCAGCTTTGGCAAGCATTTTTAAATTTTTGATGAGTGGTTCATCTTTGATTTCTTTTGAGAGTATAGAGTGAGCCAGACATTGGCTAGCTGCCCGCTGGCTTTATAGCCCTTTATAGCCCATGCTCTCAGAGCTCTCTCCATGACTGTTCGTTAACTGCCCCATGACTTTGCTAATCATCTATTACAGAGGGACCTTTCTTCCTGTTGAATTAAGCAACTTAGTGATGTCACAGTACTTCCGACTTTCAGCTCTTCATCTGATGGGTTTTCTGCTAATACAGAAGCTATCCCTGCGGGCATGTTCATTTCTCAGAAGAACCAATATTACAAGTCAAGGGAAACAGCAATCTCCAGGGAGGAGGGAATGACAGTTAACTGGAAGCCCAGGGACTTGGGGGTGCACACAATATTCTAATGTTTTGTTTTTTTTCCTTTTTACCAGGGTACACTGTGAAAGCCCAACAAGTTGTATCTGTGTGCCTTACTCTTCTGTTAGACTTCAGTTAAAAACAATGTTCCTCCCCCAAGGGAAACCATCTTAGATGGGGCTGAGCAACAAGAGGAGCCCTCCAGGTTAGAGCAAAGCAGTCCCCCTGGACCAGTCATGACAAGTCCTTACCACGGAGAAGGTGGTCACTGGAGAACACACTCTGCTCAACAGAAGATTGGGGTTTTAGGGACCGGGAGACAGCTAAGAGGTTAAAATCACTAGCCATGCAAGCGGGAACCATTTAAAGAAATGGGGGAACCTGGGCGGCAGTGGAACATACCTTTAATCCCAGCACTTGGGAGAGAGGGACAGGGAGATCTCTGTGAGTTCAAGGCCAACCTGGTCTACAAGAACTAGTTCTATGACAGGCTCCAAAGTGATAGAGAAACCCTGTCTCAAAACCAAAACCAAACAAAAAAAAAAAAAATCGGGGGAAAAAAAGCTGAATGTGGCAGCATGCATCTGTAATCTCAATACTCCTGTGGCAAAATGGGAGGTGGAGACAGGGGAATGGCCCAGAAGCCAGCAGGCCAGATATCCTGGAGAACACAATGCTCAAAGTTGCCCTCTGAATGTTGCACGCGCACCCTGGCACATGGCCTCCCTTGACGTGCTTCCTCTGCTTCCATGAATGAGCCCCTGCTCGCCAGTTCTGACTTTGCAACCTGTTCCCTCTCTAGTTTCTCTTCTAATACAGATGAGATTAAAAAGGAGCTGATTCCAGGCAGAAGCTCTTGACTCCATCGCTAATGGCAGGTCTGCAGGGTTTCTTCCTCAGGGTTACTGCCGGGTTCAGGGCAGGGCTGGGAGGGGGAGTGAATGTGAATTCTTTTGTACCTGTGCCTGGAATAGAAAACATTCCTCAACACTCCGTCCTCAGGACTGCCCTTTTTGCACAGTCTCGTCTGTCTCTGGTGACATCCCCCACTTCCATGGCCTTACCCATCATCTCTTTGATAAAATCATTTGAGGAGATAAAAAAGATTAAGGCTGTAACACAGGCAGAGCAACACAGAAGTATAATTAATGCACAGTGCTCTTTGCCTCCCTGAGTCAGTCTTCCTAGACTTTGGGAACGAGACTGGTACGCTTATTTTCCCACGTGGAGAAACGCCTTTCACTGTTGGCATTTATGTGCCCTTCTGGTCCCACGCCTCTTTTCTGTCTCCTGAGCAGGGCATTCTTCTTTTTATGTCCTTGGTCTGTCACACTCTGACTGACTGTTTTCTTTTTATCTCTACCCTAAAGCAGCCCTTTTCTGATGCTGGCATATCATAACCCGCAGAGAAAACGGTACACGGTATGAAAGGAGCCGGCCACAAAGGCCCACAGACTGGATGATTCTCTTCCAGGGAAAAATGTCTGGAGCAGGCAAATCTGTAGAGACAGGAAGCAGATGACTTGTTGCCCCAGGCTGGGATGAAGGTCGGGGAATAAGGAGTGACTGACAAAGGGCTTGGGAACTCTTTTGTTGCACTGAGAAGGTTTGAAGTTGGAATAGACGTTTGCATAGCTTTGTGGACACGCTAAAATCCACTAAACTGCACTCTTTAAACAAACTCATATTCTAGGAAGGTTATTAGAAAACACAAACAAAAACCCACAATGGTGTAGTTATTGCTCAGCTTTCTGTCACTAAAAAATACAATACCAAGGAGAGATAATTAATGAAGAAAAATGGATTCTATGTGTATGTGCATGTGTGTGGGTGCCTGTGGAGGCTAGAAGAGGGGGCTGGATCTCCTGGAGCTACAGTTACAGGGATGTGAGCTGCCCAATGTGGGTGCTGGAAGCCGAACTCTGGTCCTCTGCAAGAGCAGCAAGTGCTCTAACTGCTGGGCCAAACCCTCTGACCCCAGAAGTTTCAGTCTGTGGTCACTTGGCCTGGTTGCCCTGGGCCTGTGGTGAGGAGAGCTTCTGGCTTTGTGGTAGCTGAGAAGCAAAGACAGACCTTATTTTTATAATAGAATCTATTCTCCACACCCAGTAAGCTATTAGTCTGTAAGTAGACCATCCATTAGAAGGTCAAAGAGGTCTTACCATTCACTCCCCTTCCACAGGCTTCCCTCTTTATACTGCCGCACCAGGGATCAAGCCTTCAATGTGTGGCTTTTTGCAGGGCAGTCTAGATTTAAACCATGGCAGTTGGTTGAAAGAGACTTTTGACCCTCACCTAGCTGAGCAGGCTTTCTTCCCTAGGCTTCAGAGGGTGACTTCATTGTAACACGCTTTTAGGAAGAACCGCTCTGTGCTGCTGCTCCTGCACCACACACTGTGAGGGTCCAACAGTTTTGGAACGGTTCCACCTTGACCAAAGGTCAGAGAGTTCAAACCTATTTTTGTTCTTTAAGGACAAACAACAGGATGTTTGACCAAAGGTGTGGCTACTGGATCCTTTGCTCCTTCAAAGCCAGACCGCAGGCTGTTTGACTTAGGGCATGGTCACCAGGTGTTTTGAGATGTAAGGAGGTAATCACACTTGCTTGTTCTTTCTATCACGGGAGTCTCGTGCCCTCCTATTTTGATTGGGCTATATAAGGATGTGAGTAATGAACTTGGGGCTTTTTGTTACAGGAGTCACTGGAAGCCTCCCAACTCTATCTTTTGTATCATGTCTATTTCTTTCCTCAATCCACACCCCCCTTCTCAGGAAGGTAGGAACCAGTTGGGTCGAACCCGACACACACTGAAACCAGTGCCCTGCAGCAGAGCAGTGAGTCAAGCATGGTGAGCATGCCTGTGAGCCCAGCTGCTCTGGGGACCAAGGGACAACACCTTTAACCTCCTTTATTAATGTGTAAGCTGCACCTTTACAATTCAGTTAATGTACATGTGTTTTTATTAACTGAAAAATAATCCATAATGTATTTCATAACTCACCCAGCTTACTTTCCTACTGAAGAACACTCTAGATGCTTCCACTTTATTATTTTTTTAAATGCAACTAGTTGCCAGGTGCTAGTAGTGCATGCTTTAATCCCAGCACTCAAGAGACAGAGGCAGGCAGATCTCTGAGTTCAAGGCTAATCTGGTCTACAGAGTGAGTTCCAGGACAGCCAGGGCTACACAGAGAAACCCTGTCTCAAAATACAAAATAAAACAAAAACTTAAAATGTAGCTAGAATCATAGCAAAAATCCTCAGTGGTGTGTGTGGGGTGCAGTTTTCAGAGAGAATGGGTTTCCTGGAAGATCTACCAGCAGGTACGTTTCAATTGGAGTCGATATTGACAGATTCCTTTCCAAGGAAGCTGTAGAAGTCCACAGTCTCTTTGACCCAATATCCCTGGGGACAAGTGAAATGTTTTTCCATACTTTTTTTGACAGTCTGTATTTTTCTGTTTTATGCAGAGCAGACTTTGTTCCTTTGCCCCATTTTCCTCTTTGGGAACATCTGCCTTAGCGTTTTTCTCTGCCAAAGGTTTTGGAAACTTGTGTTTTTTCAGCAGGTATTTACTTTTACTGGATGAAACTAGGACACAACCGAGAATCTCAAGTATCTTCTCCTTTGGCCAACACTGATTGTCCTGAGGGTGGCACATGCGTGTTCTGTACCAGAGCTCCCGTGGGCATCTGTAAATCAACAAGGAGACTTCCTCAGAACTCTCCAAAGAGGGGGATGGGTATCCACACATCCAAGCCGTTCTTACATCACGCTACCTTACCTGCCCATTTTCCTATGATTCCAACAGAACTTTCTGCAATAACCCAAACGTTCCATACATGAACTGTCCATCACAGCGGCTCCTGAGTTCTCAGAATGGAAGATGAGTGTTTAAAGCGGAGGCTGCCGCACTGAGCTCCCCGAAACCTGAAACCCACTTTCCTCTCTGCATCCCTTCTGTGTCTAGCTCACAGTAACCTGCATATGAAAAAGGGCAAAAAGAAAGCCTGGGCAATTTTTTAAGGTTCTTGGTATATTAAGAAATGAAGACATGCCAAAATCCAAGTATAAAAATTGTGGTATGCTGTAAGATTTGTCTTGCACTTACATGGTGCTTTATTCTCCTGTGCTAATGATAATCTTGAGGCTAAAATAGTCAACCAATGAGGTAGTGGTATCTGATGAGTGGGACTCACCACCACACGCAGTCCCTCTCTACCATCACCTATATAAATACCAAAGACCTATTAAGACAACAATGAGTCTTTTTTGATCTTTCATGTGCTTTCTGTTAAAATAGCACATAGAAACATATGTATTATAGAACATACTCAGATTATTAAACTGAGGTAGAACAGAGGTATAAGCAAAGACTACAGTATGTATTTACTCTTTGAAATTCAAGCCCCCTGGAAGACAGCACAGAGAGATGAGAGAAACTGAGAGCATTGGAGAACTTGGGGTTTGTTCACTGATTTCATTTATCCATCTCCTTCCGAAGCAAAAGTGGAAGTAATGTCATCCTGCAGAACTGCAATACTGTTGAAACTTCTCTGATGATAACTCATGGTTTCTGCTCTCACTAAACTGGGGAGAACTCATCAGACACAGTCGTCCCAGCCTGAAGTGAGGGCAGAAGGCTACACTTTATGCATTAGACAGCTATCATGAGAATACTTGTCATTCATTTCCCCAAACAACTCAGGGCGGCTGCAGTTACACAGAGGCTGCAAACATTTATACACAATGCTGAGTGAGCAAACCCAGAACAAAGCAGAATGCAGACATGCAATCATCGTCGTCACATTTCCTTCCTTATCTTTTTTTGTGGTTCTGGGAATTGAACCCAGGGCCTTGCACACATTCAAGCAAATCTAAGCTGCATTCCTAGGCCAGAGCCACCAATTTGACTCAGAGCTTCAGGGCAGCCAAGACAAAAGGAGGAACCATGGAGCCACACAGTTTCCTCATCCACAAAAAATGATGCCAGTCACTCAAGGTAAATTACTTCATAAGGCTTTGAAAGAAAATGTCCTGTGGGAGATTTCCCGCAGGGAATGCAAAGCCATCAAGTACACAGTAAGTCTTACAGGACAGACATTCATAGGTTCTGGGGGCACTCATGGCAGAAGGCTGGAAGTTTTGTGAGTTTGGGCACAGGACAATATGGACAAGCATGTTTTCTGTGGGATCAGCTACATTGTGTGCTTGGCTAATGACAGATACACACTGTTCAGAATTCAGTAATAACATCAGCAGATGGGAAGGGGGGTGACAGGTTTTTGTCAAGAGTGAGCAACCCCATGTGATGACTGTCAACCTTTTATGACCATTCCTGTCTCTATGGTGGTAGCTGCGGGGCACAGGCAACCTAGGAATTTTCATAAAACCAGGTGTCCAAAAGTAAGGGGAGAAAGTGTTCAAGTTTTATCCAGGAGAGCAGAAGGTCTATAAACTCACAAGTTACTTTCTCCTTATTTAAAGCTCATATTAGTTGCCAATATTTAGAGATTAATAGATTTCAAGTCTGACAATCTGGATGCTTTTATTACCCTACATGGCAAAGTCTGCTAAGTTGGGTACAGAACAATACCCATCTGCTTGAGCTATTGAAGTACTGAAATGCCATGTGGGAGAACAATGGAAGATTTGGATTAAATTTTTTCACGGAAGTATTGGTATATGCATTACTATATTAGTGTTAGTATATTACTATATTAGTAATATATACTATATTAGTTACTAATACAAAGTGTGTATCTTTGTGAGAGTATGTGCGCATGTGAATACAGAAGTTTGGTGTCCAGAAGAGGGCGCTGGATCCCTGGAACAGGTGTTACAGGCAGTGAGCTGCTCCATATGAGTGCTCTCAGATCCTCTGCCAAAGTTAGACATACTCTTAGCCACTGAGCCATCTCTCCAGGCTCATTGCTCACTCCTGACTAAGGGAGAATATGAATGAAATCTTAGGACATGTATGACTATCAGCAAAGTGACTGGTTAGTAAATATATTTGGAAGGATAACATGTAAAACATACCCCTTGGTAAAGAAATGAACCTTTGCGGGGTGGTGGTGGCACATGCCTTAATCCCTGCCTGGGAAGCAGAGGCAGGCAGATCTCAGTGACTTTGAGGCCAGCCTGGTCTACAAAGTGAGTTCCAGGAGAGCCAGGACTGTTATGCAGAGAAACCCTGTCTCAAAAAAAAAAAAAAAAAGGGAAGAAAATAAACAAACCTTATAGGTATGGCATGAGAGTACATTCCTCTAATCCCAGCACCCAGAAGGCAGGTGGACCTCTGAGAGTTCAAGGACAATCAGGGCTATGTAGTGAGGTCCTATCTCATAAGCAAAAAGAGACTAACCTGGTAGTAGTTACTGGATTTAGGCAAATTAAATTTAGGGCATGTTGTTTGGGAACTACCTTCATTCTCACTGACAAATAGGGAGTGGCAAGGACAACTACAGCTCTGAAACTCCATTAATATTAGCAACATATAGGAAAACAGACTTGCTTGTTTCCAAGGCATGTAGAATACGTGTTCAAAGGACCCACATATTATCTAGAGTTTATTTTTTTTCATGTTTTCTTTTTTTTATTTATTACGTATACATGTATGCCTACATTACAGATAGTTGTGAGCCACCATGTTGTTGCTGGGAATTGAACTCGGGACCTCTAAGCCATCTCTCCAGTCCCTTATCTAGATTTTATATATATACACACATACAAGAAAGGCCACAACTTGGCTACTTTATGCTACTTGAAATACTTTCTGGACAGTAAATCTTTCAATCTGGACTTTCAAAGTAATGAAACTTGAAACTAGTTCTTACCCACAATCTAAATGTGAGAAATTAAAGTTACACTTAAAATATTGGTATATGTGTGGCAGCCACATGCATGCTTGAGCTCATGTGTGGAGGTCAAAGGGCAACTTTGAAAACACTTTATTTTTTATGTGTATGTATGAGCATTTGTGCTATATACATGTAGTAGTCATAGAATGACATGCAGAAGTCGGTTCTCTCTACCATGTGGGTTCCCTGGCATTGAACTCAGGTCTCGCACAGCAATTGCTTTTCTGTATCTATTGATCCATTTGGCTGGCCCCAAAACATTCTTTTTAAAATGAGGGTTTTTTTTTTTAAAATTATAAAATCAATGCTGTCAGTAATTTAGAAAATAAGAAAATTTAGGTAGTTTTCCCAATTTTATATGCAGAAATGCTTCAAACTAACTTCTATACTTTGGATCTAGAATATTCTCTGAAGCTCATGTATCAAAGGTCCCCAGGGGAGCATCATTAGGAGGTGGTGGGGCCTTTAAGATATAAGGCCTAGTGTCAGTCCTCAAATCAATACAAAAATGTGCCCTTGAAAGGGACTGTGGGATCCTGGCCTTTTTGTTTTCTTTTTGCTTCCTGGCCATGAGGTGAGTGGTTGTGCTCCCACATACACGCTGTCACTCCACGGGCCTAAAGTCAAATGGATACCAGACTGAAGCCTCTACAACTGTGAGCTGCAACACACACGGTTATCTCAGATATTTTGTTAAGGTGACGATGAAAAACTACCACACCAGTGGAAAGAGATATGCACGTCAATCCACTCAGTCACAAATGCTGAGTGAGCGAATTTACTCAGGGCTTTGGGGCAGGGATACGAACTAGGAAACATGGTTACACAATTCAGTTATATAATTGGTATTGCCAATAAAAAGAGACACATCAGTTATCCAGAGTGGCCCAAGGATTTGTGACTTCCAACCTGGGCAGAAGAGTCTCTGGAGCTGAGCTGTGTAAGCCCTGTTTTCTAACACCCCTCCGTGTCAACAGGGAGTACGTGGTAGGAATGCTTACAGTACATGGGTTCTAGCATTGGGCATCCTGGCTCTATCACTTATTAATTTTGTGAGCTTGAGTAATTAAACTTTCTGATCTGTAAGTATTGTAATTAATAGTATTGCTTACCTCATCGGGCTCCGACAAGACTTGAATGAGCTAGTGCTGCCTGTAACACTAAAACAGGAGCACAGGTGCAGAAACGGGATGCCTGGCATGTAGGGAGCGTCATTGTTACAGTAACTACAGTGGTGGGTATTATATTAGCAGTGAGGAGAAAGAGCATTTAATCCATTTAGGACTCTGATAGAAGGCTTCCTAGAAAGGGACTGTCTGTCATGGTCTAAACTTTGGTCTATTAACTGTTTCAGCTTTCATTAGTCTGCTATAGTATGCACACACCTTAACAAAAAACCCCAAACAAACAAACACCCATTATGGCAACTAGCTAACTACCCACGTGTTTACCTCTCCTCCAGACTGAATGGCTTTTGTAATTGAGTGATAGCCATAGCTGTCTCGGTAGAAGTAGCACAGCCTACACTAACCCCGAGTGTTTGGTGAAATGGCCTTAGTAGGTTTTTAAGAATGCTGCTATAAGCAACTCAGTCTAACATAAAAGTTTACGTTGTATTTTTGCCTTGATTGATCTCATCCATGCGCAGGGCTTAACCTCCTCCAAACTTCAACTTCTCTCAGCTGTCACAGACCTGTGCAATTTGGCTTGAACATTTTCCTCTAAATGTGGGGGTCCATAGTCACAGTGCTGAGTCTGTGAAGCAACCTGAGAAACTGTGATTTTTTTCCCTAGAGAATGGAGAATGCACCAGGAAACAGTCGTCTTTATTGTTGACGGTGCTAGTTTCTTATGGCTATTGTGATCCACTAGCTTCCTGCCCTCTTTTGATCCATTTTCAAGGCTAACTGGGTGGTATTCAATTAATGGATATCATTGCACATAAGATTTGAGAGGAGTGTGTTTCCCCAACCAGCGTATTCATTCACATTCCAACTCGTTGGTCTACCACAGTCATCGGTCAGGAACCTCATTACCGCTCAGTAACTCACGCACCTGCAGACACAAAGGCATCTTTCTTTCCATTTTGCCAAATGTTCTGCCCACCTATCTCAGCACCCGCATTAGAATCCTGGCGCTGGCCTCCATGTTTACAGTCCCACTCCCAGTGCCTTAGCGGTTCTGATCACTTCTCTAGGATGCTACAATGGCCTCTAAATGGGAGTCTCTGGTCCAGCCTAAGCTGTTTCTGTTCATTTTCACTTCCTATTTAAGACGTCTCTGCTTGAAATTATCTTCCATCTTCAAATCCAGATAAGAACCTAACTTTCAAGGGAGAGGACTCTCTAGCCTGTGACTTCGAAGTCCGCAGTTCCTGCTGTCCTTGCTCTACCGTCTCTTATGCGAAAGAAGAAGTCTAATGGGTTCTACACATCTGGTAGTCCTGGGAGGTGGAATGAGTAGCAGTTATGGACGGGCTTCCGCCAGGGTCTTGAAATTAAAAGTTCGAATAAGACCGGGTTCTCCGGCAGCACCGCACATATTATCTCGTCTTAAATTCACACCTTTCCAGTGCAGGCAGGTTAGGTGGCATTTTTCACACTTACAGAACGAGGAAACTGAGTCACGGGATTCCAGGCCTGGCCTTCATCGCATCTTAATGCTGTTAAAGACTCACTTGGCTCATTCTCTCTCCTTGTAGAACTTTCTCACACCCGGCAGATCGTCCCTCTGGTAGGCGACTAACTGAGGAAGGTTAAGGCTGGCTCTTACAGGCGCTCCGGCTCGTCCCCGTACGCAGTGACGTGACCGATGACGCTATTCAGTGACGTATGATGACGTGACTTACTCTGAGCCAGGTGCCGGCAGGGGAGCCACACCCTGAGGGCCCAGTTTAGGAGGGACAGTGGCTCCGACGGGCGGAGACGCGCCGCAAGACCCCGCCTGAGGCGACCTGGGGCCCCGAAATCCTGGGTCCTACCGGCCCACGGTTGATCCGTTGCTAAGTGACGCCAGCGCGCAAGGCGCGTGCGCGGCCACGGCGGTGTGCGTGAAGGCGGGCGCGCGCCGCGACGGCGGCGGCGGGGAAGGCGGCGACCGCGGCGGCCGAGGGGGCGGTGGCCACGGGGCAGGGTCGCTGCAGGCGGAGGAGACGTGTGTGGCGGCGGCTAGGTCGCTGAGGAACATCGTCGGGGTGAGTCGCCCGGACCGCTCGGGGAAGGTGGGGCCTGCTGGCCGCACCTGCTGCGCGGGCCCGGGGCTCGGAGACGCGCGCCCCCCGTACTCGCGCGCGCCGCTCCACGCCCCTCGGCCGCTGGTTCCGGGGGCGGGGACGGGGGCTGACGAGGGTCAGTTCCCGGGCCTGGCGCTCTGGGGGCGCGCTGGAGAAGGGTGCGGAGGGACAAGGGATTGGATCCCGGGATGACGCTGCCAGTTTCCCTTCCACTGAGGAATTCGAAGCGGGAGAAGCCCGCGTTCCTCAGCAGCCTCCGCGCCAGAACTAGAGATGCGAGTGTGCGAGCCTGACACACGCGGAAACGGGGACCCACGGGGTTGGGGGTTCCCAAAGTTTTGGGTTAGCCTCGAAGGGCTTCGTCTGTTCTGGCCTGGTGGGTCTCGGAATAGGAGCGTGTAGTTACGGAGAGAGTTATGAGCCTCTGCCTACGCGAGATTCGGGCACACCCACAACCTGGGGAAGGCTACCTGTCAGTGTAGACGCTGGGCGGCCAACCTGTTGCCTGGACCTTCCGGCCTCACGTGTATGCCCACGTGCTTTTCTGACATTTTTATCCGGTGTTGGTACACATTTTGAAGCCAGAGGACCATACCCATCAAGTATTGTTACTTCCTGATAGACACAAAACTGCTAATTTTTTCCGAGAACTGTGCTGTGCTTTGGGCCATTTCAGGGGCCTCGAGGGTAGGGCAGCCCTGCCTTTTGTGTTTGTTTTCCCTAGGTGCATTGCAGGCTGTTATTTATCGTATGAAAATATAGATCACATTCCATGTGTGGGCTGGAATGGTGGAGCTGGAGGAAAAGATGCTGCTAGCCTTCCGTTGGTCCTGTCATAGATAGAGCTCTGGACTACAGGGGGTTGGATGTGTGGTGGTTGTCCCAACCATCTTGGGGAAGGAGGAGTAATGGAGACAAACCGAAGAAATTGTTTTCCCCGTTACCTGTTAAAGGTGGTGCTTAGAACCAGTGACAAGATAGGGAGCACTGATATTTAATCATGATTTATGCATAAAAAATTGAGTGACATAGCTTCAGTTTCCACCCAGGTCTACAATGCAGAGGTTCAGTTTCTTTTAAACCAAAGCACTGTCAAGTATGGCATCTGAAGTTCTCACGTCTTGGAGTCGTAAAGCTTGCTCTGTAAAGGCGAATACCCAGGATCCACTGCTCTTTTACAAACTTTTAGGACTAGTGTCATCCGTTTTCTATTTCTGCCTGTGTCTCCTAGAAAACGGCATGCTACAGTGTAGACACAAAATAGCTAGAGCATCAACCTGTGCATGAATGTGTTATCAGTACTTGATCAGTACAGGAGAAATCTGGGCAAGAGGAGGTTAGCTAGGGAACTCTGGCAGGCAAAATCGGGACTGGCCTTTGGAAGAAGTGTAAAATTGGAATTAGGAAAGGATTAAAAAACCTGTTGTGAAACTTTAGTGTGAATTTGTTTGTTGGGTGGTGGAGAGATGTTTTGAGGAGTCCTGTTTGACTGGAGCAGAGAAAGTTTTCCAATGAAACAGTGGAGAAAATTAGCAGGGAGGAAAGGAGTTACAGACGTCTATTAATAATAGGGTGGAGCCTGTGGCTAGTTTTTGTTAGCTTGGCACAAATTAGAATCCCTGGGAAGAGAGAACCTCTATTGAGGAATTGCTTCCTTCAGATTGGCCTGTGTACCTTCTGTGGGGGGCATTTCTGAAGTGATAGTTGGTGTAGGAGTACCTCCCCAACTGCAGAGTCACCCCTTGGCAGGTGGTCCTGGGTTGAAGGGAAGGCAAGCCAGTAAGCAGCACCTGGCTTTTGCCTTCAGGTTCCAGCCTTGGCTTTTCTTGATGATGGGCAATTAACCTGTAAAAATAAACCCTTCCCCAAGTTGGGTTTGATTAATGTTTTATCATAGCAGCAGAAAATCAAACTAGAGCAGAGTCTGTTTGCGTGGGGGATGAGACTTTATTCATCAGAATAAAGTGTAAGGCAGCAGTAAGTTTCAAGTGTTATTCTTTAAAAAAGAAAAATCTACTTTATTTATTTATTTATTTTGGTTTTTCGAGACAGGGTTTCTCTGGTAGCTTTTAGAGCCTGTCCTGGCACTAGTTCTTGTAGTGCCGCGAACTCACAGAGATCCGCCTGCCTCTGCCTCCCTAGTGCTGGGATTAAAGGCGTGCGCCACCACTGCCCTGCGAAATCTACTTATTTGCTTCTTGAGATAGGATCTTACTATATATATATCCCTAGCTGGCCTAGAACTTGTGTAGAGCATGTTGGCCTCAGACTTAGTACTTAGTATGATCCTCCTGACTCTGCTTCCAGGTTACCGGGAATACAGACAGATATGTGCCACCGTTGCATGCCTAAAAATAAATGTTATTCTTACTTAAAAGATATCTAGTTGAGCCAGGATCAGATTGCTGTGTCCTTCAATTTCATTTAGTAATTGGAATAAATACTTAAGTCCTGTGCATTTGTCCTAGGTTGTCCGTACTGCATGGCTCAACCCCCAAAATCTACCTAATGGCTTTTGGCTGCTGTTCTGGACTTTTACAGAAATGATGAAACCAAAGTCGTCATCTTACCGTACTTAGTGACACAGTTTCCATTGAGATGATCTCTCTCAGTGCCCTGCTGAGCAGTAACTGCTGATCCTGTGACAAAAATACAATTAATATTAGCTAGAAAGGGAGGCAGTCTGAAGAGAGAGACCGAGAACCGTTGACAAAAAGATCTGACAGTAATTACACATTGAGGGAGAGTATTAGATTATCTGTAATAAAAGTTTTGTTATTAGAAAGTTCTTGAACTATTTGTAGTGACACATACTTGTAATCTCAGCACTTGGAAAGTAAAGGCAGGAGCTCAGGGATTCAACAACGTCCTCTGCAACAGTGGTTTTGAAGCTAGCCAGGGCTCTGTGAGATTCTCTCTCATTCTTGTCCTCCCTCCCCACGAAAAGACAAAATTCTTAGAGTGCTCTGTAAGCCTGGGGTTGAGTTGCTAAGTGAGATGTGTAGCGTTACTCGGCAAACGTTGCATTATTCAGCCACTCAGCAAATATTTATGAGGTGCCAGCTATAACTAGCTCTTCTGTCGGGTGCTGAGAGGACATCGATGAATGAGATGCTGTAATACATTTGGCATACAAGTGTTCATCAGAGACAATAGACTGTTATATGTTGTGATAAGTTAATCACTTTGAGAATTAATAAAGTGCCAGAGGAATTAACCATATTTGAGAAAACATTGATGTTGAAAGATGAGGAGAGAAGAGGATAGACGTTAGGCCTAAGGGTTAAATAGGTTTTTGCTGTGTATGAGGAGGAAGGAAACTTTGTAGGTAGACAGTCTAAGAAATGTTGCTGAACGTTAAAATCGGATGGTCCTTTTGGAAACGTCTTGAGTTGTTCCTTACCAGCTTAATGTGTGGCAGTAGAGATAGGATAGATACATTAGAGACAAATTATGAAGGGCTCTTTCATTCTATATGTGTGTGTGTGTGTGTGTGTGTGAGAGAGAGAGAGAGAGAGAGAGAGAGAGAGAGAGAGCGAGCCCTGGTTGTCTAAGAACTCATTATGTAGACAAGGCTGGCCTTAAACTCACAGAGATCTACCTGCCGGTGCCTCTTGATTTAAAGCGGTGTGCTACTTCTCCTGGCCCCTCTATCCTAAGAAGTCTAGACCCACCACTTATTTAACTGGCAATGGAAAACCAAGGAAAGTAGACCAAACACATCGTCAGGAAGTAATCGACAGTCCCACATAGGTTGCTTTAGTATGGAGAGGCAGGGATGTGCTGGTTATCTCAGGATAGGAAAGTGGCATGGTTTAGAGTTCAGAAACGTTTTAGTTGTTAAAAGTTTAAAAATTTAAGAACACATATAAGGGAAGGGAGAAAAGTTCAAGATGACATGCTTACTGTGACCAAGTGGGTGATTATGATGCTGTTGAATTAGGAAGTAAAGGAGGGATGGTTTAAGTGTGAAGAGACACTGCTGCTCTGTTAATCTTCAGGAGCTTATGGCGAGTTTCAGTAGACAGATCCACTAGGTAGGTAGTTCAGAGTTCTCCTTCAGAGTTGGAGAGGACCAGGAGCAATGTAGTGCACAAATGACAGCTGAGACCACAGGAGTAGCTGCTTCCTAAGGAGCATATAGGACAGTCATTAACTTTGGGAACTTAGGAGGTAGGCGCTCCATATTGAACTATTTATTGGCTAAGGGACCTTGCACAAATTAATGTCTTTTATCATCAGCTTTTTGTTGGAATTAAGGAATTATTGTGAAGACTGAATAATACAGTCTGTTCTTGGTATCAGCGCATGCCTTGCAACAATAATAGTAATAAATGTAGAAGTAGTCGGTCCAACTACATAAAAATAAACAAAAACAAAAACAGAAACTTGGGAAAGTAACAGGTGAGTCGGCATTTAAACTCAGGGCATTTAAGCTCTCACATCTGTTCTGTTTCTGTGAGGAAACACTGAAAACTAAAGAGTTTATAAACAACAGAAATTTGTTTCCTCAGACTTCTACAAGTTGAGATGTCCAAGGTAGATTCTGTGGTGAGGGATGGTGTCTGTCTGTCCTTTTCTCCTATAGGAACCTCAGTCCTGGAGTGACAGCAGAGGCCTTCATGTCTTATTGCCTCACAAATGCCCTGTCTCTTTACACAGTTGCTCTGAGGATCACGTTTCCAATGTGTTAGTTCTGGAGAACCTCAAAACCACGGCAGTTCCCAGACTTGAGCCTGCATCAGAAATACATGGAGGCCTTGGTAAAACCAGAAATCCAGGCCTGTTCTCTGTTTCAGAAGGAGCAAGTCTAGACTGATCTTGAACCAAGTGCCCCAGTGATGTTGTGCTGGGGTCAAACTTGTAAACAGCTGGCGTAGACCCCTGTGACTAGAAGAGGAATGAGCATGGCCATAAAGAAGATGTTGAACTTTTTGGAGAACCAGGGAGAAGTTGAGAGC